AACCATTACCATCAGAGAAACATCTCAAATATCTCCAACTCTCAATGGCTTCTGCTGCATTTCTGTAATTGGTACATGCCTGCAGCATGTCAAAAGTAGAGGTACATGGAAAGCAGTCACTCTAATGTCACTACTGCCTAGGGGCAATTCGTCCTCTTGATCATTGATGTCAGTGTTCATGCCAATGGGCAAACAACATTGGAAGCTAAACATACCTACCTTTCCCTAGATCTATCGTATATAAGGACCTCATTAAAAATAAAACCCAAAACATCAATGACCAAATTTAATTATTTTTCTTCGTTTGTCTCCTTTAGCTAAAAATGAATGTTTTGAAATAAAAGCCAAAATAGTTAACTTTTTTGCATATTTTTTGCTAGGCATTATTTTACAAGCTTTAAACCTCAGGACAACCTTTTGGGCACTTTACTGTATCACTTTTAGAGGTAGAAAACTGACTTTCAGCAGGTTCAGTAACTGACTCAAAGTCAGCCTTGCAGTCCAGAAATGCAAATCCAGGAAGGTGGACTACAGGTCCAAATTTTTAACCGTTATTCTGTTCTATTTTCCAAGAGGCCCAGATGTTATATGTCCATAAGAATTTAAGCATAAACATTTAGCCTCTTTTAATGTGAAAAACTTAAGATTTCCCAGTTAGGTGAAACTGAAAGACTGAAAGACTGAAAGACCGAAAGACTGAAAGACTGAAGGAGGAGATAACAAGTTGAAATCTAGCCTGAACAACTTAGTGAGAAATTGTCTCAAAATATATATATATATTTTTGTTTTTTTTTTTTTTTTTGAGACAGGGTCTCGTTATGCAGTTCAGGCTGGCCTTGAGCTCACTTTGTAGCCCAGGCTGGCCTTGAACTCACAGTGATCCTCCTGTCTTAGCCTTCCAAGTGCTGGGATTACAGGTGTGCGCCTCCACACCCGGCCTTGTCTCAAAATACAGAAAGAAAGGCTAGGGATTTGGCTGAGTGTGAAATCCCGGCTTCAATTCCTAGTACTGGAAAAAACAAACAGACAATAGCTCCCATTCAAAGCTTCTTAAATAAAAGGAGGGACTCAATGGTTCCTGTAAGAGATAGAGTGAGAAGGTATATTGCTGACCTCAGGGATGGCTGGATCCAGAGGCCTGAACACTATTAGGGCTCCCTCTCTGTGCTCCCTGCTTCATGTCAGACTCATGCTCTCATACCAGCTTGTGGGGGATACCATGGCGGGGAATTTCCTGGGTAAGCTCCAGATTCACATCTTAACATGAACCAAGAGAGAGAAATATTCATTTTCTGCTGGATCTAGAGAAAAAATTACGGTGAAAAACTAATTGGCCAGCAGTGGTGGCACATACCTGCAATCCTAGTACTTGGGAGGCTAAGGCAGGAGGAGCCGTGAGTTCAAGGCCAGCCTGCACCACATAGAGAGATCCTGTCACAAACAAAACAAAACAAAACAAAACAAAACAAAACAAAACCCACAAATACTTACTGGTTCATTTTAGGTCATGTGTCCATTCTTGGCCTAAATCCAGACATAACTGCAAGGGTGATTAAAAAAAAACTTCAGTTTGTCCAGTCTGGATCACATGCCCAGCCCTGCATCCTGGAGAGCTAAGTCAGTACCGGAGGAGGAGAGAAATGTATTAGATAGAAAAAAAAAAAATAGCTGTTAACTTACCTAATACTTAAATACTTCCTTGGAGTGTACAAAGTGTTCTCATATTCTTGCCTTTTGAGTTTCAACCATATTGTGAAGAAGGCAGATCAAGTATTATTAAAGGAACAGATTAAGATGGCCACAAGTTCTCTTTCACTCTCTCCATTGAGAGATGGAGTTCATATTCCCTTTACTTGACTCTGATCGGGCCTTATGATACTTATCACATAAAATGTGGCAGAACTTATAACTTCTCATCAGCCTCGTCTTCCAGAGTACCTGCACTTTCTTTCTCTGGGAATGCTCACCCTTAGGACACTCCCTTTCCAAACCTAGCCCCAGGGACTGAGATGTCCAAGCCAGATGGAGAGGGCACAGGCACTCCAGTCAACAGTTCCAGCCAAGCTCTCAGCTCTCAGTGAACAGCAAACACCAACTGCCAGCCAAAATGAGTGAGCCATTTTGCACATTCCAGGGTGGTACGGTTGGCAGCAATACAGAAACAGAACACAAACTAAAGCTCATTGGTTTATGGTTCCACAGGTAGAAAATATCAGAATTGTACTGCTAAGTCTGATGCTCTGACTTGAGCTCACAGGCGATTTCTTTGATTCTTTTTTGTTTGCTACGAAAAACAGAACAAGCCTAAATTCAGAATGTCCATTTTTGGCATTTCTACCCAGGGTGCCAGGGGCAAGTGGAGCATGTATTTTGCTCATTCATTACAACATTTGAGAAGCTCTATGTGCCAAACAACTGAGCAAAATGCACTCCTGGTTCTCAGGGATCTTGAAGTCTATTCAACAGGGAGCCTCATATACAGCTCACTTCAATAAAAATTCCTAACAGCATGGGGGCATAGTGCAGGGAGCTTCTGGAAGCCATGGCCAGGCACTAGCCTAGCCTGAAGCATGAAATAATAGGTATACTTTTTGTTGGGTAAAAAAGGGTATCTCTGAATCTGTGTCAAGGAGGTTGAAGAATATGTTTTAAATGAATACAATTATTCATCAGGATAAATGTGACAGAAATGGGTAGGGAGGCAGGGAAGAACTCAAATATTTGGGAAGAAATGTAAATTCTAATCTTCAGATCGCCCTTCCATTAACATGTATTCCTGATCAAGTAACTGGATCTCTCCATTTCTTAGTCTGTAAATCTAAGGTGGGATTACAGTATTTCTTTGTTGTCTACTTAAGAGTTCCTTACTCTGACACCCTGTCTTTATGTCTGGTGTTTCTTAGGTTGGTCCTTAGTTTATTGCTTTCTCACTCCATAAATGCTACTTAAGTGATCTTGTGTTTTTGTTATTATTCATATGACAATGAAGCCCTTATATATCTAGCCTAAATTTTCTTGAGGGCTCCCTCACAAAGCATTTGGTTCTTTGTTTCACATCCCTGGATGTTCCATGGGTACCTGGAGTTCAAAATGTGAAAGACCTCTTGTTATGGCTTGTATCTAGATGCCCCCATAAGCCTCATGTAGTCATAGGAGGGGCTCTTTGGAGTGGGTGGATCCAGGGTATGTGATCCTGGATCAAGAATATGATGCTGGGATTAAGAGTGTGAGTGCTAACCATCCTAAGAGACAGAAAGAGGGCTGGTGTGGTGGTTGTCTCTCACTTGCTGATTGCTGCCTTCTGCCTGCACTACTTTGCCATGGACTGTTTCTCCTCCACAATGCCCCTCTGCCATGCCACCCTGCCTTGGAGTCAGTCATCTATGAACTGAAACCTCCACAAACTGTGAGTTAAATAAACTTTTCTTCCCTTAACTTATGGGTCTTGTGTATTTTGTCTCAGCAAAGAGAAAAAGTAACTAAGACACCTCTCTACATACTATTACTAACTGATCTTTCCCTTGAGAATCAAGAATCAACACTGCTATCGAAGCTAGTGACTTGTAAGATTAACTTTATTCTCTCTCTTCCATCAACCTCACATGCAACTGTTTGTCAAATGCTGTTAATTTTTCATCCTAAACATTTCTGGAATTTATCCCTTTGTATAACTATCCAAAAAACACCTCAAATTCAAAATATTCAAAGCTTAACTGTATACTTCCCCCTCTCCAACTTGTTCTTCTATCCTGTGTGTTCTACTAGGATATTATCCCCATCACTCAGTTGCCTATCATAATCATATAATCACCAATACCTGATATCTGGCTTCCTATTTGTTTCTTTAATCTACCCATTTCTCTGCATCTTCAATACTATTTAATTTCCTGCAGTACTTCCATCAGTTTTCCTGCCTTCTATACTTACCCCTTCTGACCTCTTCTCTACAATTCAGCCAAACTTCCCATCTCCACTCCCATTTTCCAATTCTTTGATTCCTAATATGTTTAATCCTGTCGTCTGTGAAATCTAGGAGAGTGATAATCCATTTATCCTTGTCTGTTCTGTACCTGGCACAGTACACCTGGCAACAGTAGATGCTCAAGAAAAGCTGTATTGTATGAACCTATGCTCACTCCCTCTCTGATTATAGGTCACTTATAATAGCAAGTTAAGTCTGCGACATGTTCTAGATCCCGAATATCTGTAGAGGCACACAGTAATATGATAGAGCTCATGGTCCTATGAACTGCAGGCTTAACTGAAAGCTATCAGACACCTACTGCACATAATAGGGTAAATGAATTGTGCTGTCAGTACATAAAAGGATGTAGGTCTCAAGACATCTTTCATCATAGAATCTTAAAACTAAAGTAACCCTCATGGTTTGTTTCTCTGGTGTAAGAAACCAAAAGTGTAAATAAGGACCAGAATGTATAATAGCTATTGGGAAATAGGACAAAAAAATGTTCAAATGACGAGAGGAACAAGGGAGGGGGAGGGAAGAGAGGGAAAAAAGGACAAGAAAAAAAAGACAAAAGGAAAAACTGCAAATAAAGCTTTAGTAAATAAGGAGGGGAAGAGGGGTTGAAGGGAGGGGAATGGGAAAAGAGAAGGAGCAAGATATATTATGTACAGGTACAAATTCTCTATGATGAATGTAATCATTATGTATATCTAAAATGCACCAATAAAAAAAAAAAGTAACCCTCACGGATCCTGGAAAATATCTTCTTCTTGGTAGATCTGTAAAAGAAGCACGTTGGGAGAGTTTGGAGAATCGAAATAATCCTCAAAGCCTTGGCAAATGTGAGAAACCAGGGTCTACGCAGCAAAGCGCATGCTAGAGCGCGTGCGCGGGGCACTTTCCCGCGGCGGGGCCCTTCGGCGGCCCCGAGGGAGGCGGGACCTGGCAGATGCCCGCGATTTGTCCCCACCATTGGCGGGCGGTTTGAATGCCGGAAGTGACGATGGGCGCTGACCGCCGCGCAGGCGCACAAACGGTTGTTGGCAAGCTGCTCTGGAGGGTCTGCTGGGCTTCTTTCTCTGAGTACAACTCTGGCCGCTGGATTCCCCTTCCTAGGTAAGTGCCGGGTGCACAGGCTCCCTGAGGCCGGGAACTGTGAGTGTGCTCCGAAAAAAGGGGTCGCGCGGGACGCAGCCTGGTCCGCGCGCCTCCGGCCTTGGCAGGCTGAGGGCCCTGGCTGCGGGCGGATGGCTGCCGTGACGAGCGCAGGCTTGGGGCTGCGTGGGGACCGGGCTGCCGGCCTCCAGCGCGGCGCTGCGTGCGCTCCGGGCGGGGAGCGCGGCCTCCTCTGCGCCCTCCGGCTCCCTGAGCTTCCCCGGGGCTGCGTGGCGGTCCCGCCGCACACGCGTCCCCGAGTCACCCGAGAATGTGGCCGGGAGCCCTGTAGCCTCTGAGCCTTTCCTGGGGTCGTTCTTGTAAAGAGCGAGCTCTCTTGGGGTCCACCTCGGTTGATTTCTCTACTATGTTATTTCACAAATTCAGTTTGTAAAAGTGTCCATCAAACAGATCTTTAGTACTTAAAGTGTGTTTAGTGTTTTTTTTTTTTT